GCCGAGAAACCGGCATATCTTCTGCTTGTTCTTAAAAGCTGAATAATTCTAAATGAACTCTGTTATTTTGACAGGAAAATACAACAAAGAATATGGATTACATGTAGCGCGTCGATTCAGCGTGGTATGCAGGACTCTCGCTCTCTCTCTTTGCATTTGTGAGAAACACCCGCCCAGAGTAAGATTTAGTCGCATATGCGAGTGATTTACTCACAATGTAGAGGGTTGATAAAGCAAATTTAACATGGATCAACCTCAGTCACTATTGCAACTTATGCTGGAAAACTAACTTGGTCCAGGGCAGGCTAACTGTCAGGCTAAGCTGAGGTCCTCTAACACTGACCAATAGGAACGCAATGATATTACCAACTGACTCGCTCACATACAATTATAGCCATGCAGCCTTTCTCTCTGGTTTTATGACAGCTGTACATTTTATAGTTAGCACACTTTCATTGTCTTATAATATGCATTTATTTTTACCTTACTTGCTCAACGCCTCCCAAACGATTCGCTCAACGATTCATTTTTCCAAAGCCCTCCTTTGCGTGACGCTAACCTGAGGTGATTGGTCCGATTAGTCTCATTTACATTTCATCATGCCTGTAATGCCTGATAAAGCCAAGTAGGTATAACTGCAGACTGGAGATCTCCAAAATGGGGCGTGAACTCAGAACTCAGAAAGTGGGCAGAACCTCCAAAATGGGGCGGGGTCTCTTCGCGCAAAGACTTTCACCATTGGCTCTGGCTTCAGCCAATTATTATTGACTTACATTTCAAATTAAACTTTATAAATCAAACATTGTTTCTAGTTGATCTAAAATAAAATATGCTATATAAATAAATATGCTCCGTGAGAGCAGAGCCTAAAGCTCGTGGCCAGTGGTGTTCAGACCGGAGTTTGAACCTCTGCTTCATGATATAAACGGGAATCACCCACGAGCTGTCCCAGCGCAGCGCAAAGATTTTACTCTATCGCTTTGTTTTAAGTAACGGGGGTGTCCCGGGGCACGGAATTCGCAGGGTAGGAGGGGGTAGTGATGCTGGGTGTAACTAAAAAGGTGCCACTGTCCGGTGAGGTCCGGTTGGGGAGTTACAGAACGGCCCAGCACGGCGATCTCATATCGCATTCTCTTATTAACTGAATGAATGAATGATGCATTTATATATTTTGAACTGCAACTTTCTTTACCACGCTATTCAGCGTCAATCCCGCCGTGCAGTCAGTTTCACTGGTTAAGGTTAGGGTCAGGTGACACTGCTTAGTATTTACTCTTTGAATTCAATATTATGCACTGATTCTTATTTAAGCTACAAAAGTTATTTAGGTAAGAGCAGTGAGTGATTTTCTCTTTGTCTTTTGTTCATGGCCCCAAATATTGCAAGCTGTAGCGATATGCATATTGCGATATGTACATTTGCGATATTTCGATAATTTCGATATATTGCACAGCCCTAGGGTCAGGTGTGGGGTTAGCATTTTTGTAGCATAGTGTAGGAAATCAACACTGTGATTGACTCAACCAGAAAAATCTTTAGAATCAGCTGTGGGGCGGAGTTTGTGCTGAAGTGGATTGGGAGAAAAATTGCGCATGCGTGTCATGTGCCTGTCTGTCAATGGGAGGAAGCCACGCCCTATTTTGGAGCTCCCACCCCGTTTTTGAGTTCCCTCCCCCAAGGTCTGGAGATCTCCAGGCTGCAGTTATACCCTTCTCGATAAAGCAGCGTTTGTGAGCGCAGTGCTGCTTTGTGTATATATTTGCACGACTTTCTAACATTTACAGATGAAAAATATACCCGTGACATGTCAGTTATGCACTGAGGAAAACACAACGTCTCAAATGCATTAAACAGCACAAATATATTCGCTGTTTGCCATGGTGAATCGATTTGATCCCTGATCGACATTAAGGCCTTAATCCCCGCTTTTCCTCAGGTCTCCGTAGTGTTGTGATACGTCATATTCACGCAGCAGCAGTGATGACAGAATGCGCTTGAGAAAGTTTAGAGAGAAATCAATCTACATATAAAATCTTGGTCACTTTCTAAACAATAAAAGTATAGCGCATCCACTAGTAATTCTATATAAATAAAGAGTTTTTTACCGATGCAAATATGTTAGAAACGATGCATCGTGATACAAATGCCAACTGTATCCGATGCACACTTTTTTCAAATCTTTTTCAAACTTTTTTTGCCGATGCACCGTGTGAATTGGTGAATCTTC